TGCAGAAAAAGTAGAATTGGGCTGAAAGATCTATCACTTTATCACCTCTTCAGGTTGTAAATCGTGTTTTTAAAAAGTAACTAAGTAACTAAGTAATTAATTACTTTTGAAAATAAGTAATCAGTAAAGTAAGGGGATTACGTTTTTTGGGAAGTAAACAGTAATTAGTTACTGATTACTTTTTTCAAGTAACTTGACCAACACTGTTGAACAGTGAGCTGAACTTTGGATCATCATCTTTTCTGCATTCCAGACTAACAGACCACTGACTGTGATCGTCTGCACCTAAGAGGAGGTGATAGAGAACAACCCTACCTGTGGTCTCAGGTGCTCCTTAAACACTTTTTACCTGGTAAAGAGAGGGAGGTGAAAGAAGCCAGATAACCTACCACAGCAGCACAAAGATGTCCTGTCTGACTCTGACTGTTTAAACCAGGGGACCTCAAGGGCCTCGAGGGCCGGTGTCCTGCAGGTTTTAAATGTGTCCTTGATCCATCACAGCTGCTTTAAATGGCTAAATGACCTCCTCAACATGTCTTGAAGTTCTCCAGAGGCCTGGTAATGAACTAATCATGTCACTCAGGTTTGTAGGCCCAGTGTGACCTCTAAAACCTGCAGGACGGTGGCCCTTGATGCCTGGAGTTGGACACCTTGGTTGAAAACATGGACGAGGGGGATAAGGACTCCTGTTTAGGCTGGAGGCAGGATGGTGGTATGTTAGGGGACCAAACCTATCCTGGACACAGCTGGTTTCGTTCCTTCTTCTGCCACCAACAATCGTGTTATGCACAAACACATTTGTTCTTCTCTGACCTCATAAACATGAGCGTGCTTCTCTCCTCTGCTACATCAGGCTGGTTTATTTCTGCAGCTCAGTCTGCATCACTACTCCTGGATATAATGAGATCTTACTGTGTGGAGAGGCTGACCTTGAATATTAGGTTTAAGCACGTTGCAGTGATTGGTTGATTTTATTTGACATGCTCAGCTTTGACTGGCTTGTTTTTGTCTTTTATTTGAAGAAAGCGCTGGAGTCGATCAGAGCAACCTGCTGTCTTTATTCACTGTGAAGAAATCATTTCCAAACAGCCAAACAGTCATTGAACAAGAGTTACATTAAAAACAACTGAAACCAAACGAGTGGAGCTGATTGGACGTCAGCTTTGATTGACAGCACTATAAATGTGTGAAGACATTCATTTTTGTTTTTTAATACAAAACGATGGTTGTTTTTCAGTGTGGCAACACCACATACACACACATGTCTAAAACCCCATGAAGACGACATGATTTGACATTTATACAAAACAATCTCAGATATAAATACATATTTATAATCTGTATGTTACAAAAGAGTTTCCCTCGTGATTTTGGTGACGGGCGGGGCAGCGTGATCAACCACAGTGACGTATAAATATTCAGCCAGCTACAACTTTGGCAAAAATCACAAAACCCACAGAGAAAAACACATGGGGCGGGGCTTGAATGAATGGGAGGGGCTTTGGGGTTGTGGGAGGAGCTACGGTTAGAAAGACAACTCTGAACAAGAAGACAGACAGTCACAGTAGCGTATCAGGATGCAGGATTTTTTTTTTTTAACAGCGCAAGCATAAAAAAAAATACAGACGTACAAGGGCGGGGCTAAAAGAAGAAGGGCGGGACTTCAAGGGACAAACTGATATTTTTCATTTATTGTTTTATCGTTGTGCTTTCAGAGGTCAGAAGTTTATGTGCTGAGGTTAATGAAACGATTAAAGGCCTCAAATTATTCCTGCTGCAATTTCTGATAAAATAAACACTGTTCATGGCAACACGGACGCCGCCGGATACTGCAACAGATTTTAGTGAATTCTCAGTGGAAGGAGCCTTTCATAGCTATGCTTCCTGTTCGTCCCCCTGTTCTGAGTCTGGCAGCAGCAGAAATAACAGGAACCTCCCTTGAACCTTCAGCCCAACTAAAATCAGTGCTGCTGCTTCTGTGTTCATCTCTCTTTTCTGAAACGTTCTTCAAATATGACACTTCAGTTTGGCTAAAGGTTGGCAAAGGTTTGATGATGAGATGTCCTGGATTATTTTAAAAAACAGGGAGTGTTCTGCCTCCCCCCACTGAGGTTCACCTGAACTCAGGTGCTTTCAGAGGTGTTTATCATGTCACTCATTGTCTGCTCCTCATCAGGGTGCTGATGAAGGGCACCATCAGCACCCCGATTGCTAGGTATGACAGGCCTGAATTACACTGATAACTGTGTCCTGTAATTTGAAGCCTTTAATCTCACTCCTCTTTGGATTCCCATTTCTTGAACTAAGATTACATCACAAGCAGACTAAGTGAAGTCAAGTCTTAGATGTGACATCACAGTTTTTACATTGAATGACCCCGCCCCCAAACATAGAGTATAACATCAGAATAATTACAGACAGCTGAAAGCACCCGCAGAAAGCTGCTCTACAAAAAGTCCTTCTCAGGTTCTTCTTAGAGGCTCGGCCCAGTCGCAGACGACTGGCTGCTGCCGGAGGCCCCGCCTCCTTAGGCCACAGGTCCCTCCTCCTCTGAGGTGATTAGTGCTCGTGGCTGAGGGGGAGGAGACAGGTGAGGAACGAGGAGGAAGGTTTTCTACATGGGAGGAACGACGAGGCCGGACATGGCTGCAGAGAGACGAGGTTTGAATTCATTAATTATAAACATACAACAGAAATGATGTGTGTCACTGAGTGACAGCCAGGTGTGACACCTGCAGAGCAAACATCAGGTATGGAAATTTCTTTATTCTATGTATTGATCACATGTTTTGACAATATCACTTTAGTAATAGTAGCATCACTTTATCACGTAGTTGTATGCATGTAGGATAGTATCACAAGTGGGCCTTGTGTTTATCACAGCTTCACAGCGGGGCCATTGTATGGGGCCAACACTGTCTGTGCTGTTGTGTAAATGCTTATGCTATTGTGAAATTTACACACATGGAGAGATGCCAAACTGCCTTTCATTGTTTTTGTAACAATGACAATAAAGAGCTATTCTATTCTATTCTATTCTATTCTATTCTTGTATGTGGTCAGAGACATCCAGGCACTGCGTGTAAGAGAGGTGACAGCTGGTCGTAATTCTCCTTAGGGGGGGGGGGGGGTAAGGTTCAAGGATGAGCTGAGCTGGGAGGTATAGGTCATATATAAGACGTGAGCGCCCATCTTCAGAGGCCGCTTTGGCGTTTGACCAGAGCGCTCTCTGCAGCATGTGATTAAACCCACTCGCTGAGCGTTTGCACTTTATTTAAACAACTTCCACAACAAAACAGAATTAATTAGATTAAAAAAAATATCAGTACTTTGCTCATGTTTGAATAAAGCTTTGCTCACACCATGTTTTTAATCCAGATGTTTCAGTGAGTGATGGTCTGGCCTGTATTCAGCTCAGTAATGGAGTCCAGGTTTGTTCATCGTCTGCAGATGTTTGTCCTAACCCTACAGTTTTGGTCCTTCCTCCCCCCAAACCATCAGGATGCTGCTGTGACCTGTAGGCTGATAACCAATCAATCTCATGCTTAGCTCGTAGCATCCATGATGTCCCAACAGAATCTCTGTTTCTGATTGGTCAGACTACAGGACAGTCTCCACTTGGCCTCTGCACGTCTGAAAGGAGAGCCCTGTGGTTAGTCAGAGGAGGCGGCGGTTTTAATTGATCTCTAAATCTTTTCAGGAAGTCGTGAGACATGCACGATGAAATCTTATGTGCGTTTGCTTTTATGCTGCTATCTCGTTGAACTGTCGGCCTGGGGTGGCTCTAGCTCAGTGGGTAGAGCAGGTTGGCTAGTAATCAGAAGGCTGGTGGTTTGAGTCCTGGCTCCTTCAGTCTCTGTGTGTTAAAGTGACCTTGGGCAAGATACTGAACCCACAGCTGCTCTCGGTTCATCGACGCGTGAATGGTCAGTTGGACGAGTCATGTAGAGTAAAAGTGCTGTGAAGGAAGAGTTTTACACTCTGAGCTGTGAACCTCTCCATCAGCCTCTGCTCACTGTACGAAAACACGTTCCACATTCAAACTGAGCAGATTTAACACTCCACGTGTTTCCAGAGGAACCTTTTCTGTCTCACATGAGTTTGAATTATTCGTTGCGCTCTGGTTACAGCCTCCGACATGCTCCAGCGCAGGTTTCAGCAGCGACAGTCGTTACAGTGACACTACAGGATGTAGCAGAGCTGCGTTTTCCACCTCAGCTGTGAAACATTTTAAGAAGACAGGAGAGGACGGCAGAAGCAAGGACAGTGACACGAGCAGAGGAAGAGGAGGGGGGATTAGGGCACTGACGTGTATTCATAAAAGGACACACGGTAGAAGAAGACAACCACTGACACACACACACAGGAAGCCAACAGTGAGCAAGTGTGTGTCAGTAAAAGCAGAAGGATGATGGGCTGCATCGTTCAGATGAGGAATGCTTTAGAGTAAAATGAAACGTAAGCCTTGGCTGTGTCAGTCAGGTTTGTAGCCACATGTCAAACTTCACCTGGACAGGTAAAATGGTTTTGATGATGCTGTCCTGGTTTGTGAGTCAGATATTTTTCCTGTTATTGATGGAGACACGCAACAGGATTCAGAAGAATGTGAGCTGACTCCAGGATGGTGGAAATGCCCCGGGGAGACAAAATCCCGTGCAATCCAGAGTGATTCATGGCTACAAATCCTCCCACGTACATCCCGTTTCACGGCGAGCTCAGCTCTAAATCTGCTCTCTTTGTTGTAGGAGAAGAAGAAGAAGGCCCACTGTCCAGCCTGAGCACTAAACCTTCACAGACCTCAGTAACCTCACCAGTGTGTTAAAGGGAAAGGTCACATGATGCTTCCCTGATGATGAACTGTTTATTTATTGTACAGTTTTCCTTCCTCCACACCGGAATGTCTCAGGACAGTCGGACTTGATCCGCAAAGTTTAAATAATCAGGAGATGCCTCCTTCCTCTGATTTCAGGTGAGCTTTGCTTCTTTGATTCTGTGCACCGCCCTCCTTTGTCTTATGCAAACTAACCTAAAGTTGGATAAGCTGTTAACAAAACGGACGGTTTGTTGATGAAGAGACTGACTCCACCCACCTGTCCCTGTTGTGACTCGAATAAAACCTTAAAGAATCTGATGAGTTTTTAAAAACATCTGAGCTGAAAATGATGACACATCATTCCTCATTAGCTTCCTGTTAACGACAAAATGCATGTAGCAGCCCGCAGTTTAATTTACCAGCTCATTACACAAGCACACACACACATGTCTGTAGACTGACGCTTCACTCCTTCACAAAAACTGAAACGTTCTGGGATAAATGAAGCACATGTTCACAGAAACAAAACACAAGTAGTGATTTCAAAATGAAATTATTTCATAACAGCAACAACAACAATAATAATAATAATTAGAAACCACGTTGAAATGATGTCAGGATGAAATTGTTTCTCAGGTGCTCGTTTGAAGGTGAATCACTGATTTCATGCTCAGTTTCTGGCTGCTGCAGCTGCAACTATTAATAACATTCAAACTGTATTTACTCATCACCCGGCAAATGGATCCACACACACACACACACACACACACACACACACACACACACACACACACACTGTGGCCTTTCTGCCTCGGCGAAGGCGGAGAGCAACATGAATATTTAACACTCGACAAACCTCTCTGTCAGAAACACTGACATCACACACACTGGCTGCCAGAGTGTGTGCTTCCTGTGTGTGTGTGTGTTTAATGCATGTGGGCATGTGTGTTTAGAGGATGTATCTGTGGGTTGTAGTGAATAAAACATGCATTGGCCTGTCACTCTTCATGCAATACTAACAGGACTCGGGTTACCCACCTCGACCCAGCGTGTGTGTGTGTGTGTGTGTTCACTCCATTTACTCGTCTGTAGACATGTGGTTGTTTACAGAAGAACAGATGAAACTGAATCAAACATCTGTTCAGCTTCATGTTACTCTCGAGGCTCACTCGCTTTAATTACACCACATCTACATGTTTAAAGACATGAATCTCCAAAAGTTGATTCTGTTAATCGTTAAACGTTTTCAGTGGGAGAAACGTTTCGTCGCTCCAGAGATTTACTTACCTGGATGATTGAGCATGCATAAAGACATAAAGACATGAAGGAATTTGAAAACAAAATATAAAAATATGAATGTACTATTTCTTTTTAATCATAAGCTTTGTTAGTCACAGGTTCGATCATACTACGATCAAAGTATGTCTTCAGTCCCGGGAAGTATTCTTTCTGTCCCTAACACTTCTACTGACTTCGGAAAGAAGGAGTTTTAATTTGTAGACTCAAGGAGCTGCTGTCTCACCTTGCAGCCCATTGGCGTTGTTGGCGGAGCAGTTGGGTGGAGGAGGAGGTGAAGCTGGCGGCCGAACGACGGGAGCAAAGGCGCTCTTCTGTTTGACAGCAGCCGAGAAGGAAAAAACTCCATGCGAGGAGTTACAGTTAGAGACGGCCATGGTGGGACTGGAGGGAACGACTGGAACACAGCAGGTCAGAAACCATTTTAACCAGTAACTGTGATGGGACAGTAAACTACACTCCGTTAACATGGTTAGCTCTGTCTTACATGAATGATGTACTATCCAGTCAATTCAATTCAGTTTTATTTACACAGCGCCAAATCATAACAACAGTCACCTCAAGGCGCTTTGTATTGTAGGTAGACCTTACAATAATACATACAGAGAAAAAACAACAATCAATCTCCCTCCCATTCTACCTTTAAATACTCTAGGAACAACAAGTAGACCTGCAGTGTGAGAGCGAAGTGCTCTAATAGGGTGATATGGTACTACAAGGTCATTAAGATAAGATGGGGCCTGATTACTACAAAGTTCAAAGATAGAGGACCAGCACTACAGGGATTAGTGTAATTAGTACGAGTAGTATTCCTTGTAGTGGTTGTAGTAGCACTGCTAGGAGTATTAGTAGTAGTGGGTGTAGTACTGTAGTACATTTACCTTGATACTTACTGCCGTAGGGTGAATTGGCTGAGGACCCGTTGAGGAAACCGGGTGATGTTGCCACCCCAAGGTTTGGCATGCCTGTGTTGCCGTAGCCATTCATGCTGTTGCTGACTGTGTTGCCATAGTTACTCTGTTGGGGGGTGGAGCTTGGTACATATCCTCGCGGTGACACACTGCTGGTGTTTCGGCTGTAGCCGACTGGAAGAGAGTACAGTGTTAGTAACACTGCAGTATTACTAAGTGCAGTAAGCTAGTTTTAAGCTAGATGAGGCTGCATGTAACTTTTCCCCAAAGGTGGCGTTTTCGGTACATGGAGGTTCCTCTCAGCAAGTATTTGAACTCCTAAACACTTTAGAACTGATAATGCAACATCCTGGTTTCACAGGCAGAGGAAACAGATGGTGGGCTGATCCCAGTTCTGCTGGAGATCCTTTGGAGCTGCTGGAGGGGGGTGGAGCCTACACCTGCTTTAATTGGGCAAGTGGCAGGGTACACCCTGGAGAGGTCCACCTTCCATCACAGGGCGAACACAGAGAGACATACAAGCATTCAACCCCAGCACCTTCTTGCTGTGAGGCGACAGTGCTAAACCACCACACCACCCACATACATGCTCAGGAAGAGTGGAATTTGGAAAATCGTTCACATAATCGTTCATATGAGATTGGTCTTTCATATGACAACATCCTAGTAATGCGACCATCAACAATCCTTGCTGAACTTTGAGTAGTAGTAGTAGCCAATCAGATCCTAGAGTATGGACTTGAGTTCAGCAGACAGAGTGTAGTAAAGACAAACAGGAGGTGGAGCAGTTAAAATAAGAGAAAGGCCGCTTGATGTTTTTAATTCATCTGGTGACAGAGTGCTGGTGAATCTGAGTCTGGAAATGTGTGGTCCCAAAGCTGACGACAGTGGGTGGGGCTACAAGAGAAATTCATGAGGATTTGTAGATTTGCAGTGAAAGATTCTTCCTGCTGGGATCTCACAGAAAACTTGAACTACATGTCAAACCTTTTGTGGTTCCTATAACACAGAAAAGGGGCACACTAGAGCTGAATCAGAACTGCTGAATGATCCAGAAGACTCCAGTTCTTCTCATGGTTTAACTCTTTGTTCATCCCTCTATTCCAGTCCGTTCAATTTAGTTTTATTTAGGCAGCACCAAATAAGGTCCTTCATATTGTAAGGTAGATACCCTACATTAATACAGAGAAAGCCAAACAATCAGAAGACCCACTTTGAACAAGCACTTGGTGAGAGTGGGAAGGAAAAGCTTCTGTTTAACAGGAAGAAACATGAGGTATTATTTGGGATGGGGAGAGGCAGCTATCTGGGTGGGAGGAGGGAGACAGGACAAAGACACGCATGTCCATCAAAGTGACATTCAGCTCTGAGCTGGTCACAAATCTAACGCTCGGTGCACCAGAGTCCTTCTTAGTAGACTTAGTAGTAGACTCTGTAGAGTACTCGTAAAATGTGTCATGTGACCAGGGTTACCACAGCCACCCCTTTAATGTCACTTCTGCCCCCATCACCTGCAGGATTTATCGGGCCGCTCATACCTTGCGTTGTCTCAGAGACGTTGACGGCGAGCTGCCCGCTGAAAGAGTTGACTCCCATCATGCCATGGGAGGCGGTGTTGCCCAGTGATGGGATCTGGTTGTGGTTCCTGGGAACGCTGTAGAGCGCTTCAGCGATGTCTGCTGCTCGCTTCAAGATGATCTCCTGCAGAGCGGAAAGACACAGGAGCATTTAAATATCTGGATTCATGCAGCTGCAGAGACTCAGGAGGGAATATAATCACATAACATCTCTACTGGAAATGTGGAGAAGCTATCATCCTAAAATTAAAACTCATGCATTAACCAAATGTGAGACCAAAACCAAGATGGCGCCGCGGATGGTCGCCCTGGTGCTTCAGTG